GCTGCCCTGCAGGACAGAGCTGGGCAGGGCAGCAGAACATGTGAGAGATAAACAGAATAAACAACCTGGAAACCAGCATAGACAAATTATGACTTCTTTGGCAGCAGGGCTGAGAGACAGAGACTTTTTACAATCTCAGAATCATCAATACCTCAGATTCCGATAAGCCCCGGATGGCTGGCACCGGGCACCCGTGGGGTACCTCAAGTGTGGCACCCTTGGGTTGGAACACCCACCTGTCCCCCAGCACTTGACCCAGGCTGTCTTCCACAGACTTTTGCCAAGGTCAGGAACCTTCTGGAGGAAAAAACTGCAGGTGAAGCACGGAACCTGAAGATTTCCTTTGAGGATGAAGGGGCTATGGAAGATGGTAGGAGAGCACAGTGGGACATATCCCACTGACTGTCCCAGCCCCTGCCCCCTGGGATTTTTGGGAGTCCTTGTCTGTTTCCCACTGGCCCTGCAACCCACAAATTGCCCCCAGATCTTGAGGCCAACCTTGGCTGTTTCCACAGCTTCAGATGTGAGTGGTGGTTTAGGCAGGGGTGGAGGAGAACGAAGGCAGCTGGTGGCATGATGAGCACCAAGCCACTGCCGGAACAAGGAGAGATGTTGTGGGGCAAGAGAGGACACTCATCTCCAAATCACCTGGTTCTGAAGAATAATCAGTGCTTGGTTATGCCTGTGGGTGTTCCTGGAAGAGGCAAAGAGCTTTTGGCAGCTCACCACCTTTCTTTAGCAAAGCAGGAGCTGTGCCCACCACACGGCAGCTCCAGACCCTTATGGGAAGCCCCAGCAGCGTTGGAGATGGGCCACAGTGGTGGCACCGCCAGGTCCCACAGGTCACCCTGGGATGCTGGGGTGGAAAGGCCCACAAGGACTCTCCTGGAATCCCATGAGCCCAACAAAATGTGCCAGGTTACCCAGGGACATGGGCACAGCAGAGGTGGCCTCCAGACCCTCCTCAGCCCCTCCTCCCCACTCTCCCCTCCAGACACCTTGGATTTTGATGAGGAAG